CGAATTGGGTAAGATCTAAGCACCACAATTTTAACTCTTCCAAATCACTCAAAGCGGATGGTGAAATCTTCGAAAGGAATGGGGCATAGGGTCGATAACTCTGAATAGAGCACACCCCAGGTGCGGCGCAATCAATGACGTCGACACAGCAAACTAACAACGACCTATGCCTCTAACCACAAGTGAAGAGCTGTCATTCCAACGACACAAGTTTGCGATGCAGATTGCGAATGTTCGTTTGAACTATGGTTTCGGGGAAACACAGAATCGTTTAATTATGTTGGTAACGACAGAACTTGCGACCATAGTTGGCTAACGATGCTTTTGGGAAACGCACCCCAGGTTAGGTTCAGGAGGCCTGATAATTTTTAAAATGTATCCATGTTTATTAAGTTTTGCATACAAATTTTAAATTTTTTGCCTAGTATCAGCCTGGACAGCCAGTGGCAATGGAAGCTGGACAGATACTCAAACACAAAATTGTAAGTGATGTTAAATCGGGTACTCCATCCAAAAATTTAAATTTTCTCATTATTTACTCAACCTCATGCCATCCCAGATGTACAAATCCAATCTGAAATGGGGACGTTTTGTAAAATGCAATAAAATCCAAATCAAGTCTGTGAAAATTTAAATCTGTTTAGTTTAGTTAAAAGGTCTTGCCGCAGAATTCCCTATAAAAGTACAAAGAAAAGATTTACAATGTGTTTACTGACCAAATGAATTGTTTTGTAAATGTAAACAAATTTTGAAATTTGTGATAAGCCATGATCCAGCTTTGCTTGCAAAGACTAAGATGCTCCTTTTATACCCAAACATGATACCCTCACCTATTACCAAATGACCTGCCTGTGAACTGTTTCAAAACTTGTATGGCATTTTTCCTCTAAAGTTTCATAGCAGGTTTTACGTTAAAAAGAACAATGAATGATTAACAGTATTTGAAAAAGTATTACTACATATTTATCTTGTGTGTGATTATTAAGAGATTCACCACAAAAATAAATGAATAAA